TGTGAGTGTCAAGCGTGGGACAGTCACCCCTTCTGGCGGACAGTGGTTCAGGTTTAATGCCATAAGGCCGGCTGGAGGGCAAGCCCGCGAAGGAGAGCGCGCCGGGCGTGGGCTCCAGCCAGGAGCGCATGTACCTGCCGTCCGGCGCCGCCGCCGCCACGGGCGCCTGGGGGTGCACGTAGGGGTGGTGGTGGTGGTGGTGATACACTGCAGCGGGCACCGCGTTGGCGCCCGCCGCGTGCACCGGGTTCCACGAGGCGCCGAACACCGCCGCCTTGGACTGGAAGCTGCACGGACTGAAGTCGGGGTGCTCCGCCAGCGCGGTGGCCTGCCGGGGAGGCTGACCCAGGGCCCCGGGCGCGTAGCGGCCCGCGCCCAGCTCGTCCGCAGCGTCGGCGCCCAGCAGGAACGAGTCCACGTAGTAGTTGCCCAGGGCCCCGGTGGTGGCCATCGCTGTGCCCCGCGCCTGGCCGGTCGGCCCGACCCGCGGAAATTATGAAACTGCAGATTTCATGTAACAACTTGGTGGCACCCGGGGGGGGGGGGGAAGTACAGTCACCTAATAAGTTGCCGGCGCCCGCGCCCCCATTGGCCGCGCGCGTCACGTGCCCGCCCGGCAGAACAATAACGCGTAAATCACTCCGCACGCTATTAATGGCCCGGTGTTTTGCAGTCATAATTTTTATAGCAAAAGCCATATGTTTTTATGCAAAGGGATCGCGGCGCTCCACGATCGGGTTTGTTTTAATTGTGGCCAACGAAGATTAAAAGATCAAATCTGGCCTTGCCTCTGTACTCTCCTCCCCTCCCACCGCCACCACCAGACACACACTTCTTAAGCGGACTATTTTATATCACAATTAATCACGCCATCAGCAAGGCGCGGGTCCCGCGTGCGAGTGCGGCCAGTGGAGCCCCTCACATAAAATTAGACAATAATTGAAGCCATAAAAAAGCAGCCAAATCGCATTCTCGCTCTACTGTATTTAAATCTATATTTATGATATTTCATAAGGAGTTATTGTTTCAGAAGCCACACAGGCTGGTGGGAAGTTGGGAACGACCAACAGATTCGTTTGCTTCGCCGTGGCTCCCAGCTGTAAAAATTTACGAGGACTTGGAAAGGTTAAATTAGACTGTTGTGTTTGGTTGGCGAGCTCCCTGTAAATAATTCCTGCAGTCCCCGGAGATGCGAGCTTACCCCGGGCCGGCCGCGAAAAGTCAAATTCAACGCAGTATCCGTCCCAATCGAGCCACTGCCGCCCCTGCCCGAGCGCGCTGGGCAGGGACAGGCCTCTGAGTGGGGCACCGCCTATTGTGGGGCCCTGAAATCTGCCCGATTGGATCTCAGGGCGCTCGGGCGGCTCCCAAATTTGCCGCTGCGCCTCCAGCGAGCGCCCCACCGAGGAGCGGCCAGCTGTCCCCGAGGCCAAGGGTTGAAGGGCCTGGTTGTGCCGCGGGGTTCGCTCACAACCCCGCGCCCCCGCTCCCTGCTTGTTGTCAGCCGGGAATCAGGATCCCCAGGCAGACGCAGCAGGCGACCCAACACTGTGCCCCGACCTCGAAGGCCCTCACGCTGAGCTCTTCAGGCTTTGTCGCACTCCCCAAACCCGGGCTGCGAAAAAAACACGAGGCAGCCTCAGTGGAAGGAGAGATCGGCTTTGGAGAAGGTAGTGCCTCCAATGAGACCGCGCGGCTCCAGTAGCTGGGAGGCCCGCACCAGAGCGTCTGGCCTCGGGGCCCAGTATGAATTCTTCAGGGTTCGCTCGCTCCTTCCTTCCTTCCTTCCTTCCTTCCTTCCTTCCTTCCTTCCTTCC